CAGAGTTTTCATTTGAGTGATTAAGATTAAGGTTATTTTATAAGATCAGACAATGAAAGCTATTTGACATAATTATTTATGTTAAAGTTACGAGATTAGAAAATTGTGCTATGTGAAGATATGATAAAAAATTATTTTAAAAAATTAATTTTATAGATGAAAAAGTATAAAATAAAATAGCAAGTGATTATAGTTGACAATTGAAAAATGCTAAAAGAGATTGATATTTTTTTATTGTGACATGGATTTCGACAGTGCCCATATCATATGGGTTCTCCAATCTTCTCTATGTCATCTATATCACTACAAATTCTGGTGGATTTCAAATGACCTAAAGCGTCTACACAACATGGGATCCGATAGAATTAAGGTAAAGTCCGAACCTCATTTCATTCTTTTCATTATCTATCAGGAGAAATTCATACATGTATACCTTGAAAACTTACGAAAGCTGGTATATAAGATCAACATATCTTTTGTAATCAACACTGACAATTGAAAATAGGACTATGACGTGAAGGCATGAATACTTGAGAGCTTGAAAGAAGTCACAATTGCACCATCTTTCTTACAGATTCACCCTGAAAGAGTTTGTTTCAATATCTTCAAGAGGTTACGAAATCTCCATAACATGAAACAGTTCTTATGTATAGGAAAAACTTAAAGCCAATATCTCACTTTTAAGGATTATCATTTGAGGTATTTGGGATATGATTTTAATGCTTATATAGATTATGGCATCGATACTTAAGGAGCGGTATCAATACTCTTTAGAAGTACTAATACCAAAATGATACACTAGAATGACATTTACTGTTGCAATATCAATACCATTATGATAGTATCAATATTGATACTCTAAGAATTATTATCGATACCATACTCAAACTTTACCCTCTTTCTCAGTGTAAGTTTATACAATATTCATATACTATGAATAATATGATACCAAAATTCAAAATATGCATAATTGGTCAAAAAAAAGCTCACTTTAAAGGGGCTTTAAACATCATTTTAAGGTCCAAAATATTTCTGAAATTTATGGAAATAGTTTCATATCAAATGACATCATTTTTACAAGTTGCTAACATAATCATCAAATCTTGCTTGAGCATCAAAAACATCCTAAAAGCTTATATTTAACATATACATATCACATTTAACAAATCCATGGAATATATGAAATTATAAGTGTACTACCTTCAAGCAAATACAAAAAGAAAGCTTCTTGATCCGTCCTTTAAATGTTCTCTTTCCCTATAACCTTTGAGGATTCTATTAAAACTTTTACTAATCAAGCAATCAAGAAATTGAATTATATATATAAAAAAAAAGATAAATGGAGGTTAAAACTATGAATTCAAAATTCTAAAAATGAATTAAATCCATGGATAGAATTTCTATAGCCTAAACCGGCTTTAAACTCCCTTGGAATAAAGATGAGTTTTCATGAAGCTCAAAAGAAGAAGAGAAAGCTTACATTCCCAAACTTGATTGGCTTGCTTCAACAAGCTGCTTTTTCTTTCTTTTCATATAATGAATTAGTTTTAGAGTACGAGGGAAAAAAATAGGATGGATGAATAGGGTTAGGGAAAGAATGATATTACTCCCCTCCCTATCCCATGCCCTTAAACCCACGGCTACAAGCAACATTAGTAATGGAGAAATTTGATTACTTTTCCATTAATAGAATAATTACATAATCGGTCCTCCTACATTTTACCCTATTATAATATTTCCCTTTTAAGGCCAACTAGGCCTTATTCTCGATTGATTAAGCCCAAACCACGATTAATAAATTAAATCACCATTATAAAAATAAATCCTTTACTCGAATCAAAGATAAGATGTTAAGTCGAAAATTTGGTACTGTTATATATATAGACCACACTAAGGCTTTATAGCCCATTCTTTGAATTTTATTTTCTTTTTATATTAATACTTGCTTTTAAGCTCAGATTTAGCATTTCTAGAGAGTCTCATTTTTCCACTTCATTGATATTTGTTATTGGATTGTTTTGGATTTATTATGGACTTTATGACTCGGAATTATTTTGAAACATTTATTTTATATCTTTATTATCCTTTAAATTTAGATATAATATGTCTGAAAACAACATTTTGATAATATATTTTTTTTTTAATATTTTCCTTAAACTATATGAGAATAATTGTAAAATATCAATAACGATGTTTGAATTGTAAATCTTTATAATAGCATTCTTGATGCAAAAATGATGTCTAAGTCGATTTAGGATGTTACATTATTTACTTGGTAATATTTATTTATTTTATCTTGATATGATTGCTTCGACAGTAAGGCTAAATCAGATCCCACAAATTACTTTGTTTTCTTTATGTTACAAAATGTGTAATTATTGGGAAAAAAATGCAGTTTATTCACACATATCTTGATATACAACTGAACCTTATTTATAGCATTCATACATGTAGTTAATGCTGCTAACAGCCTAACGAACTCACCAGCTAAGAAACTAACTACCCTAACAGAACACCACGTGTCAGCATCAACCAACTCTACTTTCTTTGTTTCCCTTCTCTTCTTTAGAAAGGTTGCACACAAACCTTATCTCGAAACACTTGAAACGAAGCTTTGATCAATGGCTTAATTAGTCCATCGACGAGCTAATGATTTGTTGAGACATAATTCACACGAAGCTGATTAGCAACAATCTTCTCTCGTATGAAATGAATGTCCAAATCAACATGCTTAGTGTGGGCATGGTACACAGAATTTGCGCTTAGAGCAACAACACTCGTGTTGTTAGACCAGACGACTGGTTATTCTCGTTGTGGCACTCCCAAGTCTGTAAGTAAGGTAGCAACCCAGGTTACCTCAGCTATGGCGTCAACAATGCTCTATATTACACCTTCATGGTTAACTGAGAGACTGGTTTAGTTTCTTGGAGTTTCATGCTACAAAATAGCTGCCCAACAAACACACCGTACCTTGATATTGACCTACGACCATCAACACTTCCACCCCAAACAGTGTCAGAAAAAGCTGTTATATTTAACCCAAGTTCAGTCGGATAATGCTTTAACCCATAGTTCAGGGTTCTAGCCAGGTATCTCAGAATACGTTTCATCGCCATCAGATTTGCTCACATGGAGCATTCATGAACGGTGTCACCTTGTTCAAGTTTTAAATTATTTGAAATATAAAATTACATAGATAAATTGTTCTAATTTAATTATTAAAACTGAATTATAAATATATATATATATATCATTAATAATATCGTAATAGTTACTTAAATTATTTCTTAACGTTATTTTAAAATTAAATTAATTTAAATTTAAATTGAATTTTTCTCATACTTAAAATTGAAGTGATTAATTTTAAATTAATTTTTTATACTAACGTTAATTATCATAATTATATGTTTATTTATTATTATATAAATTTTGTATAAGAGAGGAATTTACTTTATAATGCTATAACAGTATATGTATTTTATCTATTTACTATGAAACTATAAAATTTTATCTAAACTATAATATAATAGTATATGTTATTCATTAACATTATAATTATTATTGCCCATTATCCAGTATGATAGCACTTCTATGGTTTATATTTGTTTAATAAATTTTTATCTATGAAACTAAATTTTTATTTTCAAAATAAAATATTAAAAGAGTACATTAATATTAGTATATTAAAAGATAATTGTAAAATGTATAAATATAATATTTTAGACGTATTGTGATTTTTGAAAAAGAGATCACGCCCGCGACAGTCACAACACGTTACGTAACGTCCTCAGCATCCGCAACCGCGACACCGTAACCACGACAAAATCTGCAACCGCAATTTGATACTATGCACCACACTTACTCGTTAGCATTAGATGACGATTCATGTTGCTTGTTGTACTTACATCAACATTGGATGAACCTTCACAACTAGCACTCAGTTCATCATTATTACATGCTTGTAACACTGCATCCTCAAAAACAACTATTATTTTCAGTGCATTCTAGAACAACCTTGTCAACAAGAGAACCACAATCATCAGCATCCAAATTCTCTTGACTGATTGATTCCACAAGAAGCAAAACGGATGAGCTTGAGGAACTACCATGCTTAGCTGATGACTACTTGCTAACTGTCGATGCATTCATGGGGAAGAGACACTCTGAGCTGTACTAGATTAAAGTCTATTGACATTAGCAACAATAACTATTGACCTCGGTTGTAAACTGCATGTACCAGGTGTCAATTGTCTAACAAATTTATCTACACAAAGAAATAAGGTTTCATCAAAAACCAAATGTCTCGATGTATACATACAACCATCATTTGCAAGGCATATAAATCCTTTATGTTGAGGATTGTATCCCAAGAAAGTGCAGGGCTTCTATCTAAACTCCATCTTATACTGCTGGAATATGCAGAGGTGTGGAAAACAATGACATGCAAACACCTTCATCAACCATTCTTTGATTTCTTACCAAATAACTTTTCAAAGGGAGATAACTTTCAAAACCTTAGTTGGTAGCCTGTTAATATGATATATAACTGTTATTACTACATAAGACCAAAAAAGCATAGCATGGACTCTTAAGCCAGTAACACAAGTGCAAGCTCAATTACATTGTGATGTTTTCTTTCAACCATCACATTTTGCTCCGAGTTATGAGGACAAGTAATATGATGAAGTATACTAGCCTTGCTTAGCACCTACGACAGCCCCCTGAACTCACATCCCTAATTGGTTTGAACAACGTTGATGGGAAGACCAAACTGAGTGGCAACCATTTGTTGAAACAACTGGAATGTTGTGATATCTTGGTCCTTACTCTAGAGAATGTATATCCAAGTGTGTCGAGTGAAGGCATCAACAAAAGTAACATAGTAAGAAAACCCATTCGATGACACATGAGGACCCCACAAGTCGATAAACACAAGCTGAAAATGTGCACTATAAACAAATTTGGAATCATCAAACGTCAACGTTTGACTTTTTCCTATATGAAAAATAGTACACTTCTTATTAATATTGTTTACAACATTTACATTGATAGATTTGCACACTTTCACTAATGTGTCATAGGCAGGGTGGCCTAAACGCCTATGCCACAGTTCACATGAGCTAAGGTTGGTAGCTGTTGTGTTGACTTCAGCTTTGTCATGCCCATTCAATCTTCGAATAATGGTAAATGAGTAAAGCCCTCCATTTTCTTCACCTTGAGGCAACACATCTCCTGTGACTTCATCCTGAACAAAACATTCATTGGCGTGAAACTTGAAAAAAAACACGATTGTCCCTAGCAAGCTTGGAAACATAGAGTAAATTTTCTGTTATTCGGGGTACATGTAGTAAATCACTTGGTAATAAAGCATGAGAGGATGAAAGCAACATGGAGCTTCCAACAATGGAAACATCTAACGAAACTCCATTACCGACCACAAGCTTACCTGGACCACTATAGTCAGACTTATGCATAACATTGGTTACATCGAGCGCCACATGATGTATGGCAACGATCTTGTGAATCCATTGCAACATGGGCTTGAGGTTGGGCATTCTACTGAATTCCAGTATGGCTCCTGGTGTTAAAAGAACAACATTCACAACCAGTATTTCCATCATCATAAGAGTAGTGAGCATTTACAGATTCACCACGATTTTTACATGACACACCATGGAAATCCTAGTTAAATAAATGCCAACAACGATTAACCATGTACGCATTTTTGCCACACAACTGGCATTGAACCTGAGTGCGACCTCTTCCTCGTTTGCCTGACCTGCCATCAGAGAAGGACGACTGAAGAGAAGGCTTGTTATCATTCTTCATATATGATCCAGTGTTCAAATTCAACTTCTTTCCTTGCGCAAGATTTACGCTCATCGGAAGTATCTCAACTTGAGCATCAAACCCTGCAAGTTGAGTCTCTGTATCAACAAGCATCGTGCATATACTATCAAGAGACAGATTCTCTCATAGCCGTAGTAACATCCATGAATTGATGATATTCTTGAGGCAACCCCTTTAGAATACTTGCAATATGTTCAACCGGAGAGATCACATTTCCACATGAGGCAAGTGCGTCACAAAGTTCTATGACTCGCGTGAGATACATTCGCATGCTATCATTGCCTTTTTTATGGACCGAAGCTTGTATTGAAGACTCATCACAGCAGTGGTGGACCTATTTGCAAAGAATTGGAGTATTATGTTCCAAATGGAAGCAACCGTTTCTGCTCCAACAAACTGTGGCAGAAGATGAGCATTAACCATAGATAGTAACCAAGAAGCAAGGCACTATCTTGGGCAACCCACTCTTCATACGCTTCAAAACAGTATCACCATCCTCATTTACAATCATCTCCGGTGGAGGCTTCATCGACCCAGTCAACATCCACTTAAGACGGTGACAGCGAACTGTGAGCAAAATCTGTTGCTTCCATAAGAGAAATTCATCTCATCAAGAACGATGTTGACTTTCTTGTTTATAAATACTTTGACGTTTCTTGAAGAGAACTCCATTTGAGCTGCAACAGACTCTGCATTAACCGGCTCCAAGACACCTCGAGGCATTGCAGTAAGATTAAGCAACGAAAGATTAAAGAAAATGACCCAAAACTCCAGCGAATGATACCATAGTGAGTTTATTGGAAAAAATTTAGTTTATTCACAATTGAGCCTTATTTATAACATCCATACATGTAGTTAATTCGGCTAACAACCTAGCAAACTCACTAGCTAAGCAACTAACTACCCTAAAAACACACACCACGTGTCAGCATCAACCACATCTACCTACAATAGTAATAAAGAAATAAAATATTGAATACCACGAAAAGCATCTTTTATTCACCAGTGATGTAACTGTGAATTGAGATGGTTTAGAGTTTAAGATTTTAACAACTGTTTTGAATCATGGAAATATTTCAAGTACCTCTAATTTTCTTTTAACAAGTTAAAACTAAACATATTTATTGTCATTATTGAAAAATATATAACTAGAATGATTTTTTTTTAAAGAAAATTTCATCCCTTCACTAAAAAGATCTGACATTTCGACTCCTTTGCGTCTTTCCATAGTAGATAGAGCCACCAAATGAGTCAAGGACAAATCGATAGGGTATGTTGCACTGATACGGATACGAGGACGAGAAACGATAATTTTTAAAATTACAGGGTACGGGGACGGCAAGGGTACGACATATAAAACAATTTTAAAATTATAAATATATAAAAAAATCATAAATAAAGTCAAATATCAATACTCAAACCACAATATTAAATTTAGAACATTAAAATCTATAAACAAACCACAATATTAAAATGTCAAATTTCAAGATTCAAACCATAATATTAACTCTAGAATAATAAAATCCATAATCAAATCATAATATTAAAGGGTCAAATCTTAAGACTCAAACTATAATATTAAGTCTAGAAAAATATTAAACACAAATCAAACATTGTTAACATCTTCCGATATTAACTGGCTCTCTAAATCCAGCTCATCAAGCGAGAGTTCGGCAAACTCTAAACATCCAACATCTCCCAATGAATCAAAAGCATCTCCACCAACATCCCACATCTTGGTTTGCTCATCCTCATATTGATTATAACTCCTTGATAAAAGACGAAGATTGTAGTGGATGTAAACTAAATCTTCGGCGCGACTAGGATTTAACTTATTTCGCCTAAGTGAGATGATAAAAGAATAAGTGCTCCAATTTCTTTCACAACTAGAGGATGAAGTAGGTTGTCCAAGCACTTTGAAAGCCAAAGATTGGAGCAATGGAATTTCGACTCCAAAGTTAGCCTACCAACTTTTCGGATCCGAAGAATACCTCTTTGTAAGAGACATTAAATCTTCAAAAGGCCCGAGCTTAAGTGAGAAACAAGCAAATTCATCCAAGACTTTTTCATAATCATCATCATTTGGAAATAACCTACGAAAACATTTCATTCTCTCTCGAGATATTTCACCATCTCTATGAGGAGCAACTCTACAAGGATTCTCGCTTAGCCAACCATCACTATAAAACCTCCAACATATTGAAAAGAAAATTACACATTGTATCAAAGAACTAGGAGTTGAAAATATAGAATTCAAAACTAACAAAGTTATGTATGTACTTTGGATTTAGTGAATGAGCTAGACAATGAAGAGGAGTATAACTCTTTGCCCAACAAGCTATTAGAATCTCATAAACAACATGATAAAAAAGACTGAAGTCTAAAAGAGAACGTTTTCCTTCTTGTAAATTTCACACTTCGCTTTCTCAATCATGGAATCCCACAACTCATATACCAAATGAAGATATGGCTTATCAGTGTCACATACTCTAAGCAAGTTATAGATGGGCTTTGTAAAATCAATGATGTAAGCTACTTTATCCGACCAATCATCACTCACAAGCTTTTCTTTCACAAAGTTTGCTTTCACCATGTCATCCTCCCTATAAAAATTTCATTCATCACTAATGACCATTGCTTGAAGTCCCTGCTTGATGAGCTTAAACCTCTTAAGCATCACAATGATCAAAGCAAATCGAGTATCAGCAACTGAAAGTAACTTAAGAGGACTAAATCTTTGAAAGATATCAATCTCATGTTGTGGTTCATGATGAAATTCTTGATTTGTACGGCATCCCCATGAATATCAGTAATCCAATGCACAAGTCATATGTTTCCTCATTTCCCTCGACATTTTTTGTCGAACAAATGTTCTTCAATGCAAGATTAAGTGTATGGACAACACACGGTGTCCAATAAATATTAGGATACATGCTCTCAATAATCTCCCCTGCCCCCTTGCAATTAGCTGCACTGTCAGTAATAATATGCACCACATTTTGATAATCAACCTCATCAATCACTTCTTTTATCAAATTAGCAATGAAAAACTTATCTTTGACTTCACCAAAATAATTCATAGCTTTAAGAAACATAGGCCCATTTCCAGAAGTAACCATGAAATTAATGAGAGGCTTTCTTGTTGGATCACTCCAACCATCACACACAATAGTTAACCCTTTTTCTTGTCATGTTGCTTTAATCGGTTGCAAGAGCTTCTCAACATTATTTTTTTCTTGTTGGAGCAATATGGTTCGCAATTTATTATAATCAGGGGAACATAACCATGAATATTGTGGGTTGTAGCAAAAGTGAAAGCCCTATGATAATGACGATTTCTAGCAAGATTAAAGGGCAAACCACCGGTGTAGAACATTCTTGCAATTTCTTCATCTAATTGGGCTCTCATATTCATGTCGAATGATCTAGCAAGAGGTGACAAGCTAGGTTTTCTCTTCTTAGAAGAAGAATCAATCTCAATTCCAGTTGAAGATTAAGAGTGCAAAGAAACTTCTCTAGTTACTCCTTGTTTCTTTATATTGTCCCACTCTTCTACCAACCTTGCCATTTCAAGTTTTTTATTTGTAGTTATATTTTTGCAAATTACAACTCCTTCACCTGAAATTTGAAGTAAATGTGTCTTTATCGTAGTATAGCTTCCATTACGAGTTTTGTCTCAAATGTTACATCAAAAATTCCAAGTTCCTCCAATAGTCCCTCAGTTTTCTATCTTTGTCACATAATTCCACAATGGAGATAAATTCTTATTTTGGGACGATGAATGACCCACTCTCACTACTGCTTCCAATCCTACTACCACTTTGAGATGCCATATTTATACTAAATTAATCTGTTTACATTAAACAAAAAGCAGAATGAAACAAATCAATGAACACATAATGAAAATGAACTAAATAATTTAACAACATATTTAATTTATGAAGCACCAAACTCTAATTTCATCTCGTAATGAATCACCAAACCCAAAATATTTTTAACAACAACAAATAGTTAAACTAAATAATTTAAAATTAATTTTTTATTATATTTTTCAATCCCCAAACCCAAAGTACTTCCCTTTCCCGTTCCTTCTTTTGATCCTAACCTAAAGGTCATTTATAAATGTCAAACGTTTATTCAATACCAACAGCTTTTGTAAATTATAATTGTCAATGTTTATTCTTGCTCTGGAATTCAATAACATTTCTTAACTCAAGCATCTATTTTTTTCATCTTAAATCAACGAAACAATAACTTTTGTAAATTAAAATGGTCAATGTGACAATCCACTCAACCCCACCATTTTGTAAACTAAAATTATTTTATATAAAATAATTAAGAAAAAACAAATCTTTAACATCTTTTTTTTTAATTTTTTTCTCTGCAATTATTTTTTTCATGCTTAACATCTATTTTATATAAAATTATGTAAACTAAATTTATATAAAAAGACCAACGAGTTAAAAATTGTTTTGATTGGCATGCATGTGTGGTAAATCTTTAAAGCTAGAATTGAAACAACAGCTTTTGATTGGCATGGCAGCTTTTGATTGGCATGAACCAGCAAAGCTTTTTTTTTTTCTTAAAAAAAAATTCTCTATGGCATGGATCTACTGATACGGAACTTTGCATAACGAAACTTTGAAATACCACAATGAAACTTTGCATAATTGAAATAGAAAAGAGAAGAATGACTTACGAGCAACATGTTGGCTGGAGGGCTGGAGAGAAAGGAGAGGATACGGGAGGAGGAAGGTTAGAGGAGATGTTGAATTTGATCTCATTCCTCGATAGTGATTAGGTTTTCTTTTGTTTTGTTTTTAATCTTTTAACACAAAATACCAAAATTACCCTTGGAGATGCAAGTGATAGTCACATGTCGTCCCCGAAACATCCCAGGTCTTGGTCAAAACGTCCCTGACCTTGTACGGATGTACCCCGTCACTGTGGCGCATCCCCAGGATGTCTCCCAATCGTCCTCGTGTTGTCCTCGTGCTGGGGGCGTTTCGGGTACTTGAAACACCCTCCCTTTGTTGTACCCGTGCTTCTTAGGGGTGATAATAACCGGGTAGCCAGATTTTTGAGTGTCGGCCCGTGTCTCAGCCTGTGATTACTGGGTACCCTCTATCGGGTAGCTTACCCTTAAAATCAGGTTTCGGGTACCCAATTAATATTTTTTAATTTTTTAAATCCAAAAATTTTTAAAAAAAATTATAGAAACACATAAAATTTAAAAGTTCATAATACATAATTCATGTACAAAAATTAATGATTTGAAGTTAGTTTTAAGGATAAATATTTGGATATATGTATATATGTTAAAGTTTATTTCCAAAAGAAAACATTTAGAATATTAATATCGATCGTAATTTCTTTTCTTCGAATCGCATATTGATAAATTAATAAAAATATTTTTGAAATTTTAGAAATATAATTAAGAAACCTAAAATAAAAATATAATTAGAAATTAAAAATATAAATATATAAATATATTAAAACTAAAAGGTCGAGTCGGGTAGTCGATTATCAAAAATTTATGGCCCAGACCCAGCCCAATCACCCGAAAGAAACCACAGGTAGGGTATCTAGCTCGATCGAGTAAATTTTCTTAGAAAACTTCTAGGTTTTTAGGGTTCATATCGATGGGTCAACCATGTCAGATATTTTTAACACCCCTACAAACCACATAGTGGTAGTATGGATATTAGAGATCCAATCTAGTTTTTAGAAGTGGCTATTAAGCGATAAAGTTTAGTAAAGTATTCAGATAATCTAATCGAATCGAAAACTTACAAAAATTTGATGGATAATAGTTTGCGGTTAGAAATATTATATTTATATTTTTTATATTTATAACTTAACATGGAACAATAGAAGTGAATTTTTCATGTTAAAGTTGAATAGTGGAAATTAAGTGACTAAATTAAAATTTTTTGGAAAAGTACAAGGGCAAGGGTGGAAATCAATAAATATGATTTTTATATTGATATGATGATGTAAGTATGGTGATGAAAGCATGGCAAAATGGTATATGTTTTGATTTATTAAGGGTAGAAATGACTTTTGGACTAAAATGAATTTTAAATTCATTTTTAATAAAATTTATACAAGTGTAGATAGATATTTTGGGAGATTTGTCTAGAAATCTTCTTTCTTCTTCCTATATATGTTGTGAACCATGAAAGAAAATAGGCAAGTTATGAAATAGAAAAATGGTCCATATCAAATTCTTTATCATTTGGTGATAATATTTCATTGTTTCCATGCTTGAATCATTGGATTGTTGTTGATATGGAAATGGTTGAGAATGGATGAAAATGATGTGTTGATGATGAAATTATGCTTGAATCAAGTTGAAAATCAAACTTGATATATTTTTATTCAATTCGACCTAAAGGAAGAAAACAAAGAAAAATTGTGGAAAGATTTTATAAGGAATAGAAATGATGTATGAGTGATTCTACATGCTTGGAATATGATTTGAACCAATTTGGAAAATTGTGAAAGTATAGGAATTTAATTATATAAATTAAGAAATGTGGAGATTAGTGTGCAATTGTCTAATGTCTGATGTATTATGTTAAAATTGAATGTTGGGTGCTAAAATTGATATTTGGATGATGATTTAGATCAATTTGAAAACTTGTGAAATTATAAGGACCTATTCAAAATTTATGGAAATTTTAGGGGATGAAGTGTAAGTATTTAATAGACGATGTACTACGTTGGAACTAAAAAATAGAATGATGAATTTTATGTTAGAATGTGAAATTGGACTAATTTAGAAATTTGGTAAAGTTTGGGAACTAGATTGTAAATTATGGAAAAGATGCGACTTTAGTGAAATTTTTTAATTTTTTAGATGTTATATTTGAATTTAATGCTGGAATTTTTAGTTGTGTTAGTTGAAACTTGAATTGAAGTAAATTTGTAAAGATCGTTAAGATTTGGGGACCAAATTGCATAATTGTATAAATTATGGTTTACAGATAAAAAGTTAAATTATAAGTTACCCATATATGAAATGATCTAGATAAATTTTATTTAATTGATTAAATGATTTTATACGATATTTTGTACTAAAATATGTGTTATATAATATTGTTATGCGAATTGGAGTATAAATTAAATTGATTGAATCTGAATATGTATATGTGTGTGAATTGCGTTATACATGTGAAAGAAAAAGATTATTATAAGTTTACTTAACGTTCATATTGCATAAAATACTCTATATTGATGTTTTTATAATTTTATGAGATTTTATATTAATTAATATCTTCTATAATTATATAATGATTGCTAATAGTGAATAGATTAAGGGTAAACCATATGTACTTAAGAAAATTTACATGTCTTATGTAGAACTATAATAATAATAATCATTGTCAATGGGTGGTTGTGTGGTCATAGACAATAAACATAGAGGAGATGTTTCAATAAATTTAATTTTGGATATTACAAATGTTATATATACATGGTGATATAAAAGTATATGATAAGAGTTGTGCTAAAATCGTAAAGTAATATAATATAAAAATTTCTAATAAAAGAAGAAGAAAATATAAAAAGTGGTTATGTATGAGTAGAAATAAATCATGTTATAAAAATTAATCGGTGACTTATTAAATTAAGCAGTGTTAATTGTGATTATAGACCCGCCTAATCTTCATAGGAAACCAAATGTGAATTGGAAATTTAATATTTCATTATGAATTTATGTGATTAAATAATTTAATTATAATTTCTAAATTTGAAAGTTCAATAATTAAAACTAGTACTTTTATTAACTTTAAGTCGCATGCCTATATTTGTAAATATCAATTATATGTTAATATTAAAACTAGGAAAAATTAGCCCAAATATTTTAGGGTTGTAGAAAACCCTAGAAGACTCTCACTGCCAGCGTCGCTACATCCTATCCGTTAGATATGGCGTGAGATCTAACGCCTCGAATCACTTGAGATGCTCCAGCTTTTACGCGTGTGAGACACGCTGGCGGTCCCCCTTCCACATCGACAGCAGTAGCCTCGTGCATCCTCTGTGAAGTCCTCTGCCACAACATCAGGAGAACGAGCGTCCTCTCTCACGACTCAAAATGAGGGACCACAGCAGCAGGAAAGCCACATTAATCGAGCCAATAAATGTCAGAGGGCAGGCTTCGCAATCGGCCTTGCACGACTGAAGGAAAACAGAAAATTTCCTTCATGATATATACCTGAACACATAAACGAGATGGGAAGAGATTCTCATCAACCTATAACTCAAATAAAACAAAAAAGAGGAGCCATTTGAGAGGGGAGGAACCATTTGTTAAAATAATGCCTCGTATCTTTTATTGCTTAGCTGACCTGCAATATATAATACAATGTACAAGCTACAATACAAGAGCTGAAAAGTAACTCCTTTTAATTAATTCTCTAACAGTCTACTAACCACCTACTAACAAATTAACTGATCATTTGTTATCTTAACACTCCCCCCTCAAGTTGGTGGGTAAAAAACATTTGAAACCCCCAACTTGGTTGTCAAATACTCATGTTGTTGTGTTCCGAGTGCTTTTGTCAAGATGTCTGCAGGCTGCTCCCTTGAGAAAATATGTTCAGCAGTGATGAACCCTTCTTGAATTTTTTTCTCTAACAAAGTGGCAATCAATCTCAATGTGCTTTGTTCTCTCATGGAAAACCGGATTAGAAGCAATCTGCAGTGCAGCCTTACTGTCACAAAACAACTTGGCTGGTTGGTCCTGTTTCACTCCTAGCTCGCTTAGCAGTCCACTTAGCCAAACTAATTCTGCTGTAGTCATAGCCATACTTCTATACTCAGCTTCAGCTGAAGAACGAGCTATTGTGTTCTGCTTTTTTGACTTCCACGAAATCAAGGAATTCCCAAGTTTTACACAATATCCTGTTACAGACTTCCTTGATATTGGGCAAGTTGCCCAATCAGAATCACAAAAGGCAATCAGATCACACGCACTTGAAGAGTCCATCAGTATTCCCTGTCCTGGATTCTTCTTAATATATCGTATAACTCTCAAGGCTGCCTCCATATGCTCATTTCTAGGCTGATGCATGAACTGACTCAGATGTTGTACTGAATAAGCTATGTCAGGCCTGGTGTGAGTCAAGTATATAAGCCTCCCAATGAGTCTCTGAAACTGTGTCTTGTCTAACATACTTTCTTCATCTTGCTTCAAGCATGTTGTGTCCGAAAAAACAGTCTACTAACCACCTACTAACAAATTAACTAATCATTTGTTATCTTAACACCATTCAAAAAAACGAAAGCCATCTTTCTTTCACAACAAAAAAATTGAGAGAAATTCACACACAACCAGAGAAGAACAACCACAAATCAAAAACATAAAAAACATAAAAAAAAGATAGGAATAAAACCCAAAAAGCCTCACCTTTTTTGGCGAACAACCTTCGATTCTTCACCTGATTTGGAGGAGTTCCTCAACCCCTTTTGAAGGTAACATCTTCAAACTTCTAGATCTAGGCGGAGAGGGTTCTTTTTGGTCGATTTCGGGATGGTTTTGACGTTCGGGGAGTCGGGGACTTCGTTTTGGAGTCGTCTTCTCTTCGCCGACACTGATTTATGGTGGTTAGATTGTTTTTGCAGTGACCATGAGTGGTTTTCCCCTCTCTAGCTGAGAGGAAAAAAAATTAGAGCATTGGGAGAGTTCTTTGGTGAAAAAACGAGAGAAATGAGCTCTTTTGAAAAATTTTGGGTTTTGTATGGTTGTAAGTGGGTCAGGTCATGCATATGGGAAT